TGATCTCTGAGCCTGTTTTCTCATCTGTAAAATAGCAATAATAGGATGGTTAAGGGACAAGATGAGGTCATTTGCAGAGAGCACTTAGCATAGTACCTAGCACTTGGTAAGCACTCAATTGACATTATCATCACATCATCATCATCACTCTTAATGTTATTGTTGTTGTTATCACCAAGAACCTATGTGAAAAATTACTTTGGGAAAAGGAAGAAAGGAAAGAAGAAAGAGAAAGGTACAGATCAGGGCAGGGGGATGGGCTCCTTAATAATAATACAATTTGTGTATGAGATGATGGATATTAACTAAACTTATTGATGTAATCATTTTGCAAGATATGTAAGTCAAGTCATGCTGTCTGACAAACTTATGCAGTGATGTATGTCAATTATATCTCAATAAAACTGAAAGAAAACTTTAAAAAGAGTTAAATAATAATTTGTATTTTTACTGAAAATTCAGAGTGCATTGTAAGGACTTCTGATTGTTGGGCTTTTAAAAATTATACAGCAAATTTTTATTCATATGGTTTTGTGAGGTGGTGCAACTGGATAAAGCTATTCTAAATGAATGAAAACTCTTAGTTACATTTAATTGCATAAAAATATCTTCAACTAAATGTTTCCAAATAATGAACTTAGGGGAGCCATTTTTATAAGCAGATAAGAACACTGCATAATTAAAACGATTATTTTTAATGTAAATGAATGGAGTGAAAGTGCTGGGAAGCCAGTGGCTCTCCTGGGTGGCTAAATACCTCTTCTGTAATTTTGTTTGTGGTTTTCATTTGCTCTCCTCCTGGACAAAAAGCTATAGAATAGAGTAGTTAAGAGAATACGTTTGGAGGGTTAAATGATGTTTCCATCTCAGCTCTGCCTTTTACTAGCTGTGTGACGTTGGGCATGTTACTAAACTTCCAAGTTAAAGTCCCAGTTTTCTTACCTGTGAAATGGAGACAATAATATCTGTGTTAGGGTTTTGTGAGTTTTAAAATAGTCATGTGTATAAAGCACATGGTGCCTGCAATGTAGTAATAGCTCAATAAACAAACGGAAAGGATACTGTAGTGTTCGATAAATGAACAGCTAAATGGGGAGGCATGACATCTGGGGTGTGGGGTAGGGAGCAGGTAGGCAAGCTGAGGACCCTCAGGACATAAGGGTAAGGGGTAAAGGCACTCCCAACCGCTCTGTGTCCCTTACTTTATTCCCCTGGTGTCCTGTCCTCTCTCCCCAAAGATCTCTCCTCTTTGCAGTTTTAGGAGGTGGTCTTTCTCTCTTCTAGCTACTCTGTCATTGCAATTCCATTGCTTACAATCTTCCAGAGGTTCCTGAAAATGTCTGGTCTGCTGATGGCACCCTTTTCTTGCTTTCCAGCACTGTTAAAAGATCTAGTCCATTTCTTATACCTTTTCTTTCATTTCCAGAAAATGTGGAGGAAAAAGAAGTAGAAAACAGTGCTTCTCATGCCACCATTTTGAACAAGAATCGCTGTGGACATTTTGACTATTCAGTGGCTCTCCCTTTCCTCACAGGGGAAGGAAATCCAAGGGGTTGTCTGGAGGCTGGTTCTGCCGTCATCTACCTGAGTGTCCCAGGGGAAGGAAATTTCATGTGTACTTCTGTGAGCACCTTTCTTGCAGCCACTAGGGGACAATTGTCCCCTGGTCAATGAACAGCTCATGAATGGGGCAGTGGCTGTGTCTGCAGAAATTCCTGGAGTTGGACCAGAAGTACAGCACATTGGCCACAAGTCCCTGCCAGCCCATATTTATAAGCTTGGCTTAATGGCCTCTGCTTCAAGCTCCAGTGGTTCTTAAGCTCATCCCAGATCCAGGAGGATTTATCAAATGCCTACTCTGCAGTCCTGTGGGATCGATAAGGCATCAGGGAGGGAGGGACGGAGGAGAACTGAGACCCATTCACTGTCCCTCCAGTCTCTAAGTGGCAGAAAGAGCCTGGGGATTTGATCCCGTGTTAAATCCATGTGGTCACATCCCCTCCCCTTCCCATGTGTTCTGTCTACAGTTACACACTGAATCCACTGTCCACCACGCTGACACTTAGAGCTTCTTACCAAAGCCTTCAGCAGACCAGATGCATGCTAACGTTTATTGACTGTTCTGCCAGGCACTGTCCTGGGCACTTTACATGTATTGTTATTTAATATTTTACGTGACTTAATGGTGCAGGTATATTATCATCCCCATTTTAAAGATGAAGAAACCGAGGTATAACCTTGGTGTTATGAGCACCGTGCTCTAACCACCTTGGCCAACTGGCCATAACACCAAGGTTGCCAGTTCAATTCCCACATGGGCCACTGAGCTGCACCCTCCATAACTAGATTGAAACAACTACTCGACTTAGACTCTGGGCAGCTGGTTAGCTCGGGTGGTTAGAGCACAGTGCTCATAACACCAAGGTTGCCAGTTCGATCCCCACATGAGCCATGGAGCTGCACCCTCCACAACTAGACTGAAGACAACTACTTGACTTGGAGCTGATGGGTCCTAGAAAAACACACTGTTCCCCAGTAAAATTTCTTAAAAAGAAAAAGAAAGAAAGAAACCACGGTATAGAAAGGTTTAATGACTTGCCTAAGGTCACACAGCTATTATGTGTCAGAGTCAGAATTCAAACCTGGATGATCTGGTTTCAGATCCAGTGGTCTAACCACACTACCTCAGCATTAGCATCACCCTTTTAGGTCACCTGTCCCCAGTTGCGACACTCACCAGGCTCAAGAGGTCAATCACTAAACTGTTGATGCTCAGAGGGAGGGACTGCAGTGGTGCAACGCCTAGCTCCTCACCCACCAAGGCCGATCTTACTATTACCGCCGTCAAAGAACCAACCTGCCAGGAACAGAGATGAATGTGGAGCCCCCAGGATGGAACCATCCCATGTCACTTGGTGGCAAGTTATTTACATTGGACTCCTTCCATTTCAGACGGAGCAGTGATTCATCTTCACCAAAACTGGCACATATTCTGGATACTGGTTTGCCTTTCTTGCCTATAGGGTCTCCGCCAGCACCACGATCCGAGGGCTTTGAAAGTATTTGACCCGTTGACACAGGATCCCACACAATAGTGCACTGGACCAAGGGAGCCAATGTGTAATAAAGAAGACGCCACAGCGGGTATAGGACCATGAAGTCCACGGTCCGGTCACATACGTTGCCACCCTGAAGCTGCTGGCCTGAGAGAGTGATGGAACAGTCTTTTGAAGGTGCCCCCAAGGCATCAGCTTGCAGATGATGCCCTGTGAGGACAGGGTACTATTTCTAGGACACAATGCACCCTTTAGCCAAGGGCCATTATGGGGTGCTATGTAGAAGGAATACATGGTTCTGGAAATCAAAGGGTTGAAGTAGGAGTGGTCTTCATTGCCATCATTCCCAATGAATGACCCCATTGGGGGAATTTGTACTTCCTCCATCCTGCAACTTTGGCCTGGCATTCAAGGCTTTAACAAGCTCCCCCTGGTCTACCGGTTCAACCTCAGCTTTAGTTCTCACATATCTCAGCCTGACAAGCGAACCAACTTGGAACATTAGCTATACAGCTTCCTCTTTTCTTGTATTTTCTTTCTTATGAAATAGCCTACATCTTCCCCAACTCCCCTCCCCGTGAGTCTTTCCAAATCCTTTACATTATTTTTTTTAATTAAAAAAAAAAAACCAGTCCTTTACATTCTTAATAGCAAGGTAGTAAATTCTATGGTTAGAACCCAGGCTCTGGAGTTGGACCGCCCAGGTTCAGATTCTGGCTCTGCCTCCTGCTGTGTCTCCTGGGGCAAGTGATTTCTCTCTGTGTGCCTCAGTTTCTTTATATGTAAAATGGGATTAATAATAGAATTTACTGGATGGGGAAATTTGGGAGGGGTTAAATGAGATAATCTGGGTAAACTGTTTAGAATTGCACCTTCCTGTTAGTAAACACTAAATATTGGCTACCCTCATCCTTTAGGGCGGGGTCAACATACTTTTCTATAAAGGGCCAGACAGTAAATACTGGGGGTGCCAAAAAAAATGTATGCAAATGGACACTGGTCAACGTTGCTCAAGCAGTACTTTGCCATAATCAGAAGTGTCTAGATGCTGATGGGAACCACTATGAACACCCGTTGTAACTGCAGAAGTCAAATGTGACTTGTATTCATATTTTGTTGTCAGTATATATTGAGTATTACAATTTTAGTACAGTTTTTTTTTCTTAAAATGTGTATGCATTATTTTGGCACCCTCTGTATTTCAGGGTTTGCAGGCCACAGAGTTTCTGCTGAGACTACTCTGTTGCTATACCATGAACATGGGCATATGTAATATGTAAATGAATGAGTGTGGCTGTGTTCCAATAAAACCTTATTTAGAGAACCAATGAGCACATTGGATTCAGCCCACATGACATCGTCTGTCAATCTCTGCTTTAGGATTCCCCAGTCTCCCAGGAGAGAGTGACTTCTTCCTACAACTCAGACTAGTCTCAGTACCTTAACAACAGCGACAACACAATAACACCCAACTCAAATCGTAAGCCCCGCCCCCTGCCTCATGCTTACATTAGAAGCGGTGAGAAGCAGCATGCATAATGGTTATGAGCACGGATGTTGCAGGCAGATAAACTCGGGTTCTTAGTCCCACCTAGACACGGTGTGACTTGAGCAAATGATTGTACCCACTGAGTCTGTTTCCTCAACTGTAAAACAGAGATGGCAATAACTCACACTTTCTGGGCCTGCTGTGATGTGTCCAAGAGAAATGTCCGATCCATGCTACATCTACTCTTTTCATGATGACTCCCCACTTATGACCTTCCAGCGATTGTGTTGCTTTTGTTGTTGCTAATCATCGCGATACTTATATTGATGCTCTTCTCTGGTTGCATCATAGCTCCTGATACCAAATGCCCCATACACCATCTTCACATCCCTCAAGGCCATGAATATAGTTAACTAGCTGCCTGGCTGGAAGGCCAAAGCGGGGTATTTACTTACGACTGGGGGACCCCTCCGATCCCGAAGCCCACCAGGCCCCGGAGCACCAGGATCCAGCTGTACACAGGTGCGAAAGCACTGAGGATGCCATAGTAGAGAGTCCAAAGAACGCTGATCTTCAGCCCCTGCAGAGAAGGGAGATACCAGGTCACAGGGCTTCTTAGCACCTCCAGGTCCCATGGCCCCTGCTCATGTTGAAAGTCACCAATAGGGTCATGTTGAAGGTAACCCACACAGCCAAGGGGATGCCAGGAGTTCCTCTATATGAGTGGTGCCAACCCCTAGGGGTTATGTGGCAAAATCGGGGGCATTCTTGGTTGTCCCAATGATTGGCATTTAATAGCCCGGGCTCAGAGATATCAGATGTCCCACCATGCGTGAGACCCAATAAAGACTTGTCCTGTGTCCTGAACCCTCTCAGATCGAACTTTCCACCCCACTGTCATGCAGCTGAAAACTCTGTTGGTGATTATGTACACCTAGACTTTCATTCTATTTTATATGGAAACAGGATTCTTTTTTTTTTTGGCATAGTTTGAATATACTACACTTAATTTTTCAGGAAGGCAACTTCCAGGTAAATCAAAGAAAGATTGATTTTCGTTTTATCTGGAAATTTACGAAATTGTTCATCATTTCAGAAAATTGCGTTGTCAATGGCAACGCTGTATGTGGTGTTTGAGTCACTGCGGAAACACTTCAGTATCTGTCTGCATTCACAGGGCTTTGGTGTGTATCTATGAATAGACTGATCAGAATCGCATTTCCAAATATCAAATATAAAGAAAAAACATCAACATGATTCAGTTAAATACAGCTTACTTATAATCAGGGGCAAATATTAACTTTTTCCTCTTATTATCTAAGCAGAGTTGTACATGAATATTTGCATATTGAAAATAATCTTATTTTATTCATTACCTCCTTTAAAAAAGTTCTCCCTCATGTCTTAGAGCATTATAACTGATTTTTAAAAATTATTTTTATTGTGAAATACACATTTTTAAGAATTAGTTTCAGCTGTACAACACAGTGCAATAGTTATACTTTTTACCCCTCGAAGTGACAACCCCCCTCCCCTAATCCGCTGCCCCACTTCCCCCCCACCCAATATCATACATAACTGACTTCTTTTTTAAATGATGGGAGAGGCTATTTCATTTTACCTTTGAAATTATTTCTGGGTAATTAAGAAACATTATTAACATCAAGCTGCAAGAAACAGAAAATGTATATTCCTGGAGAGTTAATTACTCTTAGATATTGAGAAAAAATTGAGGGTAAACATTTTTTTTTAATTGGGGAATTGGGAGAGGAGAACAGTGTTAGGGAATTGAGGAGGGGTACCAGCCAAGTTGTTGTTCTTCAGTCTTAGTTGTGGAGGGTGCCAGTCGCTATCTGGCTGCCCGTCGACAGCTTGTGGCCTCTAAGCTCAAGGTGCTGTGTTACAATCTTAGTTGCAGGTGGGTGTAGCCACCATCCCATGTGGGAGTCGAACCAGCAGCCTTGTTGTTAAGAGCGCACGCCCTATCCACTGAGCCATCTGAGCGGCAGCTCAGCTCAAGGTGCCATGTTCAGTCTTAGTTACAGGCGGGTGTAGCCCACCATTGAACAGGCAGTCTTGTTATTAGGAGCACATGCTCTCACCAGCTGAGCCATCCTGCCACCTGTTGGCAGCTTAGCTCGGGTGCAGCTCACTGGCCCATGTGGGAATCGAACCGGCGACCCTGTTGCTCAGAGCTTGCACTCTTAAGCCAACTCTAACCAACTAAGCCACTCAGCTGGCCCAAAGGGTAAACATAATTTAATTTAAATGATAGTTTTTATATCACAACCAACACCAAATATATAGAGAGTAAAATGTAAATTTTAGGTGAACTTGAGACCTGCAACATGAAGTGTGGGCAGGTCTCTCTCTGAAGCACTCCTTCCACCTCCATGGTTGAGTTCCGTCTCCAGCCCCACTGGGGACACTTTAGGGGAAAAGCATGAAGCATGTGATTTTAGCTTTAAAATCTTAAATTGAATTAAAAGGACTAAAGAGGACATTTGGAGGTCTACCAGATGATTTTGAGTCTCTTGGGAAACAATTTTAGGTGGTAAAGAGAATATTTTAAATGACTTTGAATCACCTTGCAAGACAGCGATTCCTTTTTCATTTTAATCTTCATTCTTCTGAGTATGTCCAAAAGGAAGTATCCATGTGGTGCTAGCCTGTCTTAAACACCCTTTTAAACACCTACTAATCTCTCTTTTTAACAGAGAGGGCAGTGGGGCTACCATAACGAGCTAGAACTTAATAACATTGCTTTATTTTCACTGTATTTATTTTTGCAGCTATTTCCTTCGAGCAATTGTTAGCCTATTTAAGACTCTCTATAGTTTCTTTTCAAAAAAAATTTCATTTCATTAACAAAAGCAGTTTATGCAAAGCAAGATACTGTGTGTACATAAGAGAAAAGGTAGGATGGGAATTATTAAAGTAGGAAGCCCTGGATCTGTTGCAATAATAATAAAGAAACATTTCTGCACCCTTAAACCCATGACTATGAAATCGGTACCTGCCACATATATATTTAATTCCTTTCTTTAGGCTTAAGCTAACTCAATAAAGATTTTCTTTCTTGGAACCCAAGGAGTCTTGAATCAGAAACAGGACATCATTAGAACCAGAAAAAAGGAAAGACATGAAAAGGGAAGGGAAGGGAAGGGAACAGAGCAGGAGAAGAGTGGAGCTGAGAGAAGAGGGCACCCAGATTGGGGCATGGGCGCTAAGCCTCCCTCGCGGAGATGCTGGGAGCCGTATTACCCCAGTGGGGTCACTGGTGACTCCCAAGCCAGGCAGCACAGACAGGCACGTTGACCAGTCCTGTTGGGTCACAGCAGATGGCAGCTGGCTCTGCATTTGCCTGCTGATGCTAGCGCTTTCCAACTGCCCAGAAAATGAGGACTCAGCAACCATTTGTAAGTACTGTCATGGCTATTGCAAAGGCACAGGCACTTCCAGCGAGTCCCAGCCAAGCACTGCTTGCAGAAACGTCCTTTGGGCTTCTCTTTAACTACGCTGTCATTCTACCTAACATCTGTTCTGCCTTTTAGATTGGTAGCCCCTCCTTTCCTCCCCCTTCCTTCCTTCCTTCCTTCCTTCCTTCCTTCCTTCCTTCCTTCCTTCCTTCCTTCCTCCCTCCCTCCCTCCCTCCCTTCCTTCCTTCCAATTTATTTATTGAGCATCTCTTTTATGCCAGGCTCTAGAAATAGGTGCATAGACATTATACATTTGTTAATTTGCTCATTCAATGATTCATTCAACAATAAGCATGTATTGAGTGTGTGCTGTATGCCAGACACTAGAGTACTGACGTATATTATTTATTCAATATATGTGTACTTAACATCAGCTGTGTGCCCAGCACTAGACGTACTGATATGTATCATTCATGCATTCACTCATTTGTTCACTGTGCATGTATTGAGCACCTGCATGTAATGTGAGCCTGGCCATCAAGGTACTATTACTCATTCATTCATTTGTTTACTATGCACACACTGAATGCCTGCTGTTTGCTAGGCACTGGGCTTTGTCCCAGGCTACAGCAGAGGACATGACAGTCTGAGTCTCTGACTTCATGGAACTTTCATTTGCATTTCGACTATTACATCAATACACTGGATCCTCACAGCCACCTTTGGGAAGAGGTAATTTTCATTTCCTCTTTACAAATGAGCACAGCGAGGGTTGAAGTCGTTGAGTGATTTGTTCAGGGTGAGCAGAGTCCAAACTGGAGCCAGGATTTCCAATCCCAAATGCTGCACTGCAGCCAGGCCCCTCCTCCAGGGCCTTTGATGGGTCCCTGTTACCTCTGGCAGAGAACACCCTACACCATGCAGGTGTAATGCAGCAAGGGCAGGTGGGCCTGGGTGGATGGGAGAGAACGTGCTCTGTCTTGTCAGCTTGTACAGCCCTGGCCAAAAATTACCATCACAGAATGTTACCATCCCAGGCGCCTCAATAGCCCAATTAAAAAAAAACAAAACCCGAAACTCTTTTTACTTGTATGCAAACCATGTCATTTTTAAAATGGAGGCAACTGATTTGAAATCCTGTAAAGCATTGTATGGGATAAAGAAAACACATCTGTGGGGGGCGGCTGGTTAGTTCAGGTGGTCAGAGCGCAGGCTCATAACACCAAAGTTGCCGGTTCGATTCCCACATGGGCCAAGGAGCTGCGCCCTCCACAAGTAGATTGAAGACAACGACTTGACTTGGAGCTGATGCATCCTGGAAAAACACACTGTTCCCCAATAAAATTTCTTTAAAAGAAGAAAGAAAGAAAGAAAGAAAGAAAGAAAGAAAGAAAGAAAGAAAGAAAGAAAGAAAGAAAGAAAGAAAGAAAGAAAGAAAGAAAGAGAAACACATCTGTGGACAATATTTGGCCCATGGCTCATCAGTTTGCAACCTGTACCCTGGAAAGGCTTCCAGCTCCTGCTCCAAGGAACTGAAAGTCTTGCTACCACTTGGGTGCCAGGGCTGCCACCCCCAAGAGGAGCATGCCACTAGCATCATCGTGAGCACTGCTCAGTCACCTACAGGGCTGTCTGACTCTTAAACCCGCTGATAGCCTCCAATCATGCTCAAGTACAAGGAAAATAGTCACAGGGCAAGGAGACCTGGGGACCTTCAAAATATTAAAATGAGGGGCCTAGTGTCTGCCAGTCACCTCCTTTTCCTCCTTAGAGATAACACGGACCTATAGCCAATGAACTAGATAGTGACCTGATCTTATTCCAAAATTGTTTTTCTTTGCATCCCAGCCAATTACAGTTACCACTGATTGCGGCTAACCATGCATCAATAAATACTATTCTAAGTACATTGTATACATTACTTATTAAATCCTTCCAACAGCCCTATGAGGTTCTACTGCTGTCAACCCTATTTTGCAACAGGCTCAGAGAGGTGAAGGAACTTGCCCAAGGTTACCTCGCTCTAGGAGTCACCAGGATGTGAACCTGGACATGTTTATCTCCATCCCTTCAAGGCCACATACCCACAGTTGCCCTTCCTTTCCGTGGCTGCCGTAAGCCCCCAAGGCTGTAGAAACTTCTGTGGGGATCGAAGTGGCTC